TCACCACCACCGTGGAAACAGCTTCATTCCACCACCAAAAATCTGCCTGTGCTTCCCAGCTCTCAGAAGGGTTACAACTTGCAGGGGTATCATTTCTGAAATACGAGTTTTAGGCGAAACATGAAAGCATTGGTGGAACCAGTTATTCCCTGGTGTTTGTCATCTGCCTGTAGTACATTAAAATAAAAAGGCTAAGTTTGCCAATTCCATAACTCCTGCAGTCAGTGGGTTTCTCAGGGTTTAGTGACCTGAGCAGGTGTGAGCAGCACCAGCCCCTGTGTTCAGGATGTGGCCTGTGAGCAGTGGGGTTGGTTAGGAAGGGTCTCTCTTGCTCTCAGGTTTTCTCTGGTAGTGCTGGTGTGAGGGAGGTGCTTGGATCCTGGTGGAGCAGATGACTTGCATTTCAGTGGGTTTGCAAGCATAAAATTGTATTGAAATTGTTTTTTTTTTAATCTGCTGCTACTTGGTAATTGTGTTCCTTCTGTCTTCAGCATGGAAAGCATCCCAGAAGTGACATCCTAATGTTTGTTGGCACTTGAGCAATAAAACTGCTCGGTCAGGAGCACTTCCCTGTCAGCATTACATTTTTAATACCTAGCTAACAGATGAAAAGGAGGGATGTAGTATTTCCACAGTCCTGGGGAGCACAGGAAGAGGCAGCAGTGCTGCAAGGACATAAAAGGTTCAGAGGAGAAAAAGCTGCACAGCTTCATCTCCCTTTGAAGCTGCTGCTCTGAACTTGGCTGCAGCTCTGCAGAGAACACACTGACTGCAGGAAGGGCTGAAAACCCCTGGTGTTTGCAGAACTGTTCCTGCAGGGAGGGCTGGCTGTGATTTTGTCAGCCATCCCTTGCTTTGTGTTCCCTCCAGAAGCCCAGTGTGATTTTTTTGGTTGGTACCTCGTGGTACACCACGTACTGCAGCTTCTGTTCTGCTTTGCAGGGTTTTGAGGGAAATAGAGAAGATTGTTGCATTTGTATTTCTGTTATTGGTGTAAGAAATTCTTAAATGCAGTTGGTACTTCTTGGTGACCATTTATGCTGATTGAATTTTTATATTTTCTAAGCTGTTTTTAATCTGGAAGCTTTCATATTAAATACCTATTTTTTAAAAAAAACTGGGAAGATTGAGGTGATCTGTTTTGTGATATGATTAGGAGAGTGCTGCTCGGGAGGATCAACATGTCAGATAAATTTAAAGCTAAACTTCCAAGTAAGTGTTGGGAAATACATTCAGGAGAAAATTAAAAAATATTTGGAAAGCTTTGTCAGTTATTAGAATCTTGTACTCACCCCCTCCATTTCAAAGAAAAAAATTTGACTTAAAAGCTTTTCCAACTCTTTTCAAGTTGAGACAGAAGGAAAGGAGTCTAATGCTGACTGAAAACTCCTTCTGTGGAGCTTGAGCTACATGGAAAAATAAATACAGGGAAAGGGAACACACAGAGCAGGAACATTTTTGGTGGTTTAGTCAGCAGAGCTGTGTGTGGAGCTCAGGCTCCTCACTCTGCTCTCTGTGCTCAGGGTGGCTCAGGGCTGCTGAGTGCACTCCTGAGTGCAGCCCCCAGCTCAGGAGAGAACTGAGATGTTGGGTTCTTTGGGGTTTCTGTTTCCAACGCAGAGCCCGGGTTGTGTTGGGGTGTGTTAATGTGTTACCTGGCCTGTTCCTCACGTTCCCTGGGCACTCTGACACCGCTCTCCAGTAGCACTTAATGCAGTTGGGTTTGTTCTTGGGGGATTCTGTGGCTGTTCCATACCCTGACTGTTCCTTTCCCACGGCACGTTTGGCAGCTGGAGAAGAAGCAGACGAGCCCCCCGTTCCAGCCGCAGATCACGGACGATTACGGGCTGGACAACTTCGACACGCAGTTCACCAGCGAGCCCGTGCAGCTCACCCCGGACGATGAGTACGTGCTGCTCCCCCCTGCACAGCCACCAGCTGGCACAGAACCTGGGGAAATGGCTGCAGGGGCTGTGCTGGGCACTGGGGCACAGCTGGGTTCCAGTGCATTGCACTGTCTGTACCCTCCCTATCTGTCATAACTCACACGCTGTTCCCGTGAACTAAACCGCTGCTTCCCTTTGTTTTTCAGAGATATCATAAAGCGAATAGATCAGTCAGAGTTTGAAGGATTTGAATATATTAATCCGTTGTTGCTGTCAACAGAAGAAACAGTATGAAGGGATGAGCTGGTTGGGGACAGTGTGACTGCCATTAATTTATCCTTAACTCCAGTATATGCATGCGAGGCTGGGACTGCTCACTCGGGATGGAGACCAATGATCTAAAAACAAATTTGCTGCTGAGAATCAAAGAAGAGAGAACGGTTTTGGTGGGTGTCCTCTGCCACTTAGTGATTCTTGAGCTCTGGGCACTGACACGACTGGCTTCATTAATGAAGGAATTTGCATTTTGTGCCTGTTTCATGAAGGATTCAAACGTTCATTGCATCCCTGCAAAAGGAGATCATGAGAAACTCTGAGATCCACACACCTTCTACAAACATTCGATGCAATGAGCTCCCAGTTGAAGAGTATTCCAGTGTAACATCCTGAAGAATAAAATATATTACGGTGGTGTTGAAGCTTATTTTTGATGCCTTTTTTCACAAGTGGTACCTGTCTAAAACGTCTCAGATATATTTAAAAGGAGTTGTGTTTTATTAGCAATCAAACCATAAATTTGGGTACAGGATTTAAGTGCCTAAATGGATAAACTGCATTGAAGGATTATTGCATATTTGGAACGTTCTTACACCTGGTAAGTTCTGCTTGTTAATATTAAGTAACCATTTCCATCTGAAACTTACAGTTCACAGCTGCAGCCTGGGGTTTAGTTGCATTTTTACAGAATTTGGAATGCAGAGTGACTCCGTGAGATTAATTCCAAATTAGAATTTACAGTATCGGTTTCAAAATCTGTTGTCTTAAAACTCCAAATTTACCAAAATGTAGAGATTGAAGAGAACTAAATTTGCACACAAAGGATTTCTAAACATACTTAAGCAGTGCCTACACCTACAATGATCTTGTGTTGTATATTAGATTTTTGAAAAGTATTTTTATCAACAATACAAATATTCAGAAGTAGAGCAAAAGCATAATAAAGCATAGCCTTAAAGTTTAAGTAGTAAATCTAGAATAACCATAAGATAAAATCCATTTTCCTGATAAAGCACACCTCCTACTCCTATAAACTGTCTGCTTTCCTCAGTGTCCATTAATAACTAACCATTCTGCATCAGGGAATGGGATGGTTCCAGAAGTGAATTTGCATCAGAGTAGGAAATTCCTTTACTGGAAGAAAAACAAACGCCTAAGAAATTGGAAAAAGCAAAAGACAACTATCCAGTCCCCTCTGGTGGAGAGGGGGGTGTCAGGGCAAAGGGCTGAGCTCGGGGAGGCTCCTGGGGAGGGTCCGAGTGTCCGAGGGGAGCCCCCGGGGCCGGGCTGTCCTCTGGGGTCACTCTGGGGGCTGGAGAGCCAGGAGGAAAAACAGCTCTGGGGGCAGGAAAGCCAGGGAGAAACCCTGTAAACCCTGTGCCGTGGCACCTCCCTGAGGGGGTGGCAAAGGCAGGACAAATTGGGACACTTTCACTTTCTTTCCATGAACCTCTGGTTTTCTCAGGGTACAGCATTGCATTAGGTGCTGAACATGACATCTTTGGGATTCACATCCAAGTCATGAGGTGCTAGGACCAGACTGCCAAAACATTGTTTGAAGTAATTAATCACTGATTAACAATCTGTTTTGTATCCCCTCATTAGCCACAATTATGCAGACCTGTGGTTGCTGAGTTCTAGGAATCCCATTCAGGTTTCAGTTGTGGGTTTCTCTGTTGGACTGTAGCTTTTCATATTAAGCAAGATGCGTTTTAATCAGCACTAAATAATTTAACTAGTAAGAAATATTTGCCTCAAATGCCTGGACTTTAGATACTTTATTATCTACTAAAGGCAACATTACCTTTTAAATGTAATCTGACATTTTTTTTAATTACTCCCTTTTCCCCTTCTCCCTCTTTTATTTTATTTACCCTGAATAACTTTTCTTTCAGTGTTTTCAACTCCCCTGGTACTAAAGGTGATCAGGAGTGATCAGAGTGACTGCAGGCAGCTCATGAGTGCAAATGGGGCAGGTTAAGCTGCCCTTTGACATGCCAGGGCATGGAACTTGAAACTGGAAATCTTAAGAAATGTGGGTTGGGGCTTTTTTTAACCTTTTTTTCTAGGTTTCAGAACATTTTGGGAGGGAGGGAAGGAAGAACAGGAAGACACATTTTGCTAAACAAACATTGTAAAGACTACTTGATTTTTATTTAAGAATTTACAGGCATTTACAATGTTGCTGTGTTGCCAAATAGTTTGCTGGGTACAAGTTTGGTTGCTCATGTGCAAGTGTTTGAATAATGTTCTGTTCATGATGAAGGGGAAATTTTTTATATAAAGTACTTGTTTTATAAATAAAAGAAAATGAAGGATGTAATTAAATGTGTGGTTTGGAAAAAAAAATCCTAATATATTACAAATGGATCTGGTAATGATATATAGTTGTCTTATTTGAAATAGTAAATGAAATTCTAGCTAATTTAATGATTGTAAAACAGTAAATATGTTCTTGTAGTTTTGTATAATTAATTAGTTGGGATCTTTGCTGACCAGTTTTAATTGTGCAGAAGATGGTATACTAATCCATAACAGCTGAGATCATTTATATTCTTGCACATCTATTAAAGACTTTAATGAAAAAGTGAACAGACTGTTATTATTTATCAGTAAACTGGGCTGTGTCCAACGTCTGAAGGAGCCCCCCCTGTGAATGGAATCCAGGGAGCCTCCCTGTGTGTTTCCCCTGGATCCTGTGTCTGTACCTGGATCCCAGCTGGGGCAGTGACCTGGGCAGGGTGTTGGTCCTGGACTCCCACCAGCCCTCAGGGCAGGGGGGCCTGTCCCAGCCTTGCAGAGCATTCCCTGCCCCTGGGCAGCAGTCCCAGACCAGCAGCTGAGCCCCCCCAGGCTGGGGGTCCCCGTCCCACCCCTCGGTGTCTGGGGCTGTGTGGGACTGACACAAACCAGCTCTTGGCTCTGGGACTGCCTGAACCCCCTGTGCAGTTCAGGAGACTGGCACAAGAGTTCTCTCTGCAGCTTAATTAGAGCAGTCACGTTAATCACTTGATTAACACTGATACTGACTTAGAGACCTACCCAGGAAGGGTGTGAGTTCAGCTGGGCTCCTTCAGAGACATGGAACCCCCACCCCTTTCTGTAGTTTGGGGGGTGTTTAACAGGGACACACTCACAGAATCAACGGTACAATTACACTTTCTTAGTGAAATAATGAAAAATTCTAAGCTGAAATGACTTTTTAATTAAATTGATTTTTCACAGATTACTGGCATTTTTTTCTAAGAGGTAAACTTTTGGATGAGGGTAACAGTTGTCTCTTGTGCAGCTGGTTCCTTCTGGACTGAGAGTGTCTGAGCTCTGGTGCATCAGCCCAAGCAGGGGCTCCAGGGATTTCCAGCAGGACACTTTTTCAGGAGCACCAAGCCTGATTTCCCTGGGGGTCTCCCCAGAGCACCATTTTCAGAACTAGAACTACTTTGTGTGCATTTGAGAGGATTTAAAATAAAAAGACCCTTGACACTTGACCTTCTACTGAGTTACTGGTTTGTGATCCCAAAGTGTGAGACGAGGATGAGCTTCCTTGACACATTTTTCCTTTTCCTTTGAGAAAGGTTCATCCTTGGCCTTGTTCCTTTGCTCTCTGTTCTCCTGGACTCACCACATGACATCATCTGCACTTTCAGACAAGCACCTGGCCAGGTGCCCATCGATGTCCAGCTGGGAGAGCCTGCAGAGACAGGGGTGGGGCAGTGAGGAACAGTCACAGCCCTTCAGTGACACTTCTTTCCCCTCCCTCTCACACGTGTCCTTAGTGGGGGGTCACTGCTGTGCCCGGCAGAGCTGTGATCCCTGAGAAACTGCCCTTGCTGGTACCTCTGCTGAGGGTTCTAAGGGTTAGAGGACCTGCCCAAAAGCACTTTTTCGGCAACTCTGGCAGCCTAAGCACTGTGCCATGGTGCTGACTGCAGGAGACAGCACAGTTCCTGCTGCAGAGCAGGTACTCAGTGTGTGAACTGGACTACAGCAGGTAATTATGACAGATAAGAAGAACTTTGCAGCAGAAGTTTTGTCTATTTTCATTATTTTGTAAATAGGGAATGCATCCAGAACCAGGTGGGGTTTTGTTTACTGGGAAGTTATAAAAACACCCACAAAACAGAAAACCCCAGACAACTTACGTTCCACTGAACTGCATCAGGCACATGGGACAACTGTCAAGAGCTGAAGATCCTCCACTCTGGTTTTCCACCTTCTCCTCGCAGCTCCCGGCCCCAGGAATGCTCCCAGGAGGCTCCTCCACAGGCACAGCTCTGTCCTGCCCCGCTGGAACCTTCCCCTCCTGTGGCTGGAGCTCCTTCCCACCCTCCTCTCTCCTGCCTCCCCTGCTCTGTGCAGCCCCTGTGTGGTGCTGCCGAGGGCTGGGAGCTCTCCCAGAGCCCTGTGCCAAGGGCTGGGCAGAGCTCCTGTGTCCAGGGAGCTGACGTGGCTCGGGACTCGCTCCCAGGTCGGGAATGCCTTTTGTGCCTCCCCCAGCTGCAGGTTTGCCTCGAGCTGTGCTGGTTCCCCTGCAGGTTTCCTCAGCTGTGGGTGACAAACTGGGACGTTTATCTGCTTGGCCCCATCCTGTATGTGACTCGTTGCTCTGGGAGCTGAAATCCTTGGGGTTCAGACATTGTCCTGTGTGAAAAGGTGGGAATGGTACCCACGGAAAGTCTCTCGTTCCAGCTGTGAAGACCTCCTGGTGTGCTGGACTCTCCTCCTCAGCACCCTGCAGCACACACACCGTGTCTCAAACAAATGCAGCTCAATCAATACATGAAGTGAACACACTGCAAATACTGAGAAGGCCGAGCAACAGTGAAGAAAAGAACATTTTATTTACATCCCTCTCCAGCACCTTGTAAAGCAATCAAGAGCTTCCTGGAGCTGATGGAATATGTGTCTTCCCTTAACATTTCTAAATGGATACAGTGGGGACTCAGTATGTTTCAGAGACACTAAAGATAAAAACAACCACCTCAGAAACAAAAAGTACTTTATAAGGGCTGATTTCTGCGTTGTGACCTTGCCCAACACTATGGGGCAATGTCAGGGTGGTTGCTGTGTCATTAACCCTCTGTTACAGGTTGCCTTTCCCACTCCCGTTCCTCAGGAGGATCCTGGTGCTCGTGGCAGTCACCACCCTCACACAGGCCCCCTCTTCTTTCCAGCAAAGTGTTGGAAAGGATTTGCCACGCTGTGCCACATCATCACACGTGAGATTAAAGAGCTGAAATCTCACAGCTCTGAAGCTCCTTCAGGTGGTTTCCTCATCATCCAGGGCTGGACACAGGACACAAAGTGCAAAACCCAAGGATACAGCACACGCTACCTTTTCCAGGAACTCCGGAAGGCTGGGCACTGTGTCCCAGGTTGTGCAGTGCAGATCCTGACTGATGTCTTTCAGTAACAAAACCCAGGCTTTTTCACGCTCATTTAAGTCCTCCTTTTCAAACCAGGGACATCTGTCAGTTGAGGTCCTGGAAAGACAGGCACAGTAGTTTGAGGGTGGGAGAGAGGGAGGAAAACGCTCTGCACTGGTATTAGTTTGCCTCTTTTTTTCTGGAACACAAAGACATTATTTAACCTGTAAACTAATTTTCACAGCTTCCTAAGACTTATATAACTTGTGCTGCAATAAAAAAAAAATCCAATTTTTTTAAAAATGACTGTCTAAACACCCTCTTTTCTCCTTGTAACAAATGAGCTGTGGATATTTATTACTGTCTTCACTTCCAAGTGAAACAGTGAAGTGTAGATACTGGGTTTTTTTCCTCAAATACTGAACTTGACACCTGCTGAGCACAGAAATCATGGAAATGTTTGCACTGAGGGTGGCAATTGCATTGGTTCCTGCATATTCCTGGCCATTCCCATACTGCCATTTGAAATTCTCTTTCCAAACGACTTGACTTAATGGATCCTAGGAAGGCTTTAGAGAGTTTAACTACAAGCATTAAAAAGGTTTTATACGAGTAATGCCATAGAAAGACAATTCCAAAAGAAGGATGGATTGTTAATGTCACAATGCTATTTCCAGCCTTCCCACTTCTTCCTGATGTGTTTTCTTGGATCAATGTCCAGGAATGAAGCTGCACAGGGAAGAAATTAGAAGAAATTAGAAAGTACAAGCCCTCAAAGAGCAGAGTGATGAACTCCCACAGCCTCTGTGGAGGGGACACGGCTCCAAACAAGAACCCAACCCCTCACTGCCCTCAGTCCTCAGGCCCGGGGCCCGCTGTGCTTTATGCTGCAGTTTTGTGTCTATTTTTTAAAGGCGCTACAGGGGGTGTTTTATGAAATAACCTTTAACACAGTCAGTAATGAGACCCTGATCCGAGCGCTGCGGGTCGGGGGGGCCTGTGCAGGCCCGGCCCGGTCCGGGCGAGGCGCTCCAGGCCCCGGAGCCGATCTGATCCCGCCCGACCCCCCCGGGCCGATCCCATCCGATCCCATCGGATCCCGCGGTGTTTGCTGACCCGGCCGGCCCGATCCCCCCCCGGCCCCGACTCACGGCGGCCGCGGGGCTGTCCTCGGGGCCGCCGGGCGGCGGCGCCGCGCGGGGCTTCAGGCGTCAGCATTGGCCGCTCCTTCCTCCCCCATGGCCGGGCTCCCCGCGGGCCTCGCCGGGGGACGGCGCTGCGGGCCGGCGAGCTCCCTCTTCATCCCTCCTCCTGGGCCCGCTGCCACGGCCGCCGGCTCTCCGCCTCCAAGCAGCCTGACGGCGCGGGGCGGGGTGGCTCTGAGAGCGCCCTGAGGGGACGCGCCCTGATGGGGAGCGCGCCCTGAGGGGAGCCGCGCCCCTGAGGGGAGTCGCGCCCTGAGGGGGAGCGCGCCCTGAGGGGAAGCGCGCCCTGAGGGAGGCGCGCCCTGAGGGGAGCGCGCCCTGAGGGGGAGGCGCGGCCCCTAGGGGAGCGCGCCCCTGAGGGGAGCGCGCCCTGAGAAAGAGCGCGCCCGCCCGCTCGCCCGACCCGCAGTCCTTCCCCTCGCCGTGGAGCTGGGGCTGGTCTGCCTCGGGAACAGCCCTTTTTGTGCGGTTTGCCCCTCGCACTTGTCGTAATGTGCAGCGGGTTGGTGGGCGCAGTCGGCAGGGCGAGGCGTCGGGCGCTGCAGCCCCAGGGCTGAGGGCACAAGATGGCGGCGGGGTCAGCGCTGGCCGCCATGGCCCCGCCGAGCCGCGGCCTGGGCCCGGTGCCGCCGCTGTTCACACAAATAATAAAGATTGGGAGCCACCGCTGGTCCAAGTTATCTTTCAGGAAAGAATCTGAAGTGATGCGGTTTGACGTTGCTGGCGGGAATGTCGCTGGGTGACTCGAAGTAAAGAGCGTGTTTAAACGCTCCTCTGGCCTTCTCAAACACACGTCAGAGAAATGGTGACACACACTTCATCCTCCAACAGTAGATGAAGGGATCACAAAGTGACTCTGCTGTTTAAATTCCTCGCAGTCGATATGAGAATAATTGTACAAGGTAGTAAAAAGTCCTGTTTGATAACAGGTGTTTATGAGGGAGAGCGGGATACAAAGCGCTCCTCTTTTCCATAAAACCAATTTATTATTGGTGAAAAAAAAATGAATCCAAGTTCACACTCCTTTTCTGCAACTGAATTTGTGCACCGCTGGGTGTCTGTGGACTGTTTCACCCTTGAATTCTTCAGAGTGGACAGGAGGCATCACTATTGACTGTACTAAAGCCACACCTGTGAATTATCATGTTGATCACACAGCCCAGCGAAAAGTTATTCCTTTAACAGCTGACCTGACCTGGAACATGCCTTGAGCAGGTCTGAACCTTGAAAGTGGCGTTTTGGGAGTCAGAGCTCGAGATTCACATTTCACCTGGACTGGTGGATTCAGCCTGAGCAGTGACAGCTCCAGCCAGACATTGGAAGCCACATCCAGTGGTTTTCCAGCTGCAGATGATCCCGTCAGTGCAGCCCCAGATCCGGGAGGCTCAGCCCAGCTTTCACCTTTCCCGTGTTAACTCAGGTACTTCGTGTTTCTGTGAGTCCATCACAACTTTGACTCTATGTAATAACTAATTTCTTAACATTATAGGAGCATTAATGGGTTTCCTTTTTGTGTAAGAGCACGGATAAAGACGTTGGAAGTGGGAAGTGTTTGGTTACTGCTGGGATTTGTGTCAGTTTGTAGAATAGACAGCCCAGCTGAAAAATAAAAATAATAACAAATAGTCACAGTAGTGTGCCAGCATTTCGGCTGTGTGATGGGTAGACTAAAATGAGAATAAAAATGGGAAAGAAATGACAGTGGAAAAGCCAGTCGCTGTCACAGAGACTGACATTTTCCCACTTTAATATCTGTTCCAGCTCCTGCAGCGCCAAGGGAACACCAGGACAGTCACAGTGCTCTGCCTGTCATTTTTGTCACCATTTAGAAGCTGCTTCCCAGTGTGTGAAATGAGATTCCAGGAAATATGTCCTCCTCTCCTTATTTATCGGGAAAGGCGTTCTCCCAAAAGCTGCAGGCACAAGGTAAGCTGAACAGGGGCGAGTTTGGATGTGAGGGTGTTAGGCCTGCTGTGGAGAGGAAGGGGATGGCAGCAGAGATGGAGCAAAGAACGGCAAGAGGAAGTGTGTGTAAATAAAGCAAAAGTGGAGATTGGAGAGGGGATCAGCCATGGGAGTGGTGGGAAAGGGGATGACAGAGGAGGGGTAGAAATTTGATTTCACAACTAGTTGAAGAAGTGTTCCTTGGGGGTTTTTGCTCAAGATCGCTGTGAATCGTGGCCCAGCGCTGACTGTGGCCACGTGGAGGCAGCAAACTATGCAGAAATGGGGATTTAGCGAAATCCGAGGGCAGCGAAAGTGCTTGGATGGAGCCTCCAAACACACTTGTAGGTGTACCCGTGCTAATGGCTGGTTGTGCCACAGGGCTGCTTTTATTCCTGTGATGTTTGGGTCGGTGTTTTATCTTATGACCCCTGTGATACCACTGTGACAATGCTCTGCTCCTAAACCACGTGTTGCATCCACAGGTTGATGTTGTTAGGTGTGAGTTCTCCCATACCTCAGGAGTGCAGCCTGTTCTTCAGGCTGGAGGGGTTGCTGTGTGGTGCTGCAGCCGTGCTCTGTAGCATTCCCAAAAGCTGTATTATGGGTGAACGTAAAAGTTGGTTATTGTGCAGTAAGGGCCACAAATGAAAGAATATAATAAAAAGAATAGTGAAAATTATTACTGCAGCTTCTGGTTGTAAAAGGGAAAACCTTGCTTCTGTAGCAGCTGTACTTTGTAGGTGGGTTTGTATTTTGCAGGTTTAACTGAAAATTGTTAGATTTTTTTGTTATCTGTTTAATGCATACCCATTCTAACCTGTGAGGGCAGGCATGTCATGAATGTTCTCATTCTTGCTCTACCTGTGGATTTCCAACTAGCATTCTAGAAATCTTTGACCATTAAGGGTACTCAGTATTTTTCATCTGCATCATTCCAGAATTACTGATGTACTAAGAATATGAAGGTGAAGTGTAGACTGGGACCTGTTCTTGGTTTTGCCACTTTGCACAAGGTTGTATCTGCTGTTTCTTCCACTGCATGGGAATCCTGTTACTTCTTGCTTGACCTTGGGTCTTGTGTAATTTAATAATTAGAATGTTTTAGGAAAAAAGTTCTCCTAGGAATGCAGAGAGTAGTCTTTACCATAATCAGCCTTGGCTGGATTTGAGCCAGTGGTCAAGGGATTTGAGCCTGTGGAAGCCAGAATGCTCCTACAGATTATCTGCAGGGATTTCCTTGTAAATGGAGTGCCAGCATGTGCAGTTATCTCTTCCCCGTTGAGTCTCATCAAGCTGCACACGCTTAATCTTTACTTACATGGTCCCTGGTTCTTGCTCTAAAGTGGGCCTCAGTTTTAACTTTTGCTCTCAGGAAGAAGGGGCTATTATAACAAATTCTAATCCTTTTGCAACTCCACAATCACTAAAGCCTATAAATTGCCTGCCAAACAAACCAAGTGATCTTTTCCTGGGCCGAGGGAAAGCGGAGAGTGTAAAACGCAGGTGCCAGCATTTGCTGGGGAAGAACTGGTACATTATCAGCTAATCCGCCTTCTGCTATTTCTGATTTCCTCCCCAACAGCTGCAGCATTGAATGAGAGCTTCTGCATTTGGGAAGAATTAGAAAGCCTGGTAATGCAGGGTCTCTATTACAGATACAGCAGCTCACAGACAGGGAGGAGATTTTTGCTGCCAGTGTAGAATTTGGAGTGCTTGGCATTTTATAGCCTGGAAAAATTGTAATTTTCAGCTGTTGTTATGGAGTAATCAATGAAGAAGAGATACCATAGTTTCTGCTGGGTTTCTCTCAGGGCCTGATGTCACTGCATGCAGGAGCTATTATTTTTTTTAATGTACCACTCTGAGGCTGAAGCACATGGAGTTTTTATTAAAACTTTTTTTTTTGCTGGTGACTGATGTTCACAGATAGCTTTAGTCCTTCTGCAGTATCTTTGGGTCTGTACTGATAGCTCCTGGGTCCGATAAAGATGTTTGGGATAAATTGTGCCTTACTAGAAAATTGAAGCGTTATTATGTTTTAATTATTTTATCTAATCAGTGCT